AGAATAAGTTCACTACATTTGTAAAAACGGTTTAATCGACAGACTGAAACTCGCTCGACAGCGAAAATCGTAGCGACCTCGAGCTTGTGAACTAGTGTAAGCACGTGATATGCGGCACATGTGAGGTCGATACACAAATCACATCAGTCCGCATTCAATGCGTTCATATATGACCTTCTTGAAGTCGTCTGGTCTCATGTCAGTGTCTACCCGTGAGTCAGTTTATGTCTTTGTATTGGAAGCTTTATTCCTTAAGTACTTGTGATTACACATTTCCAAGTAAAATTTCGATATTGGGTGTTGACATATCATCGTCACGCACGTGTATAGAAATGCCCGATATGCAATATGGAAATGACGACACGGTGTACACGAAAATGGGCACTGATGACGATGTGCGGAGCCATCATAAGCACACTATTTGGTTAGAAATTGGAAACATTACTTTTTGGATGGTAAAAGTATTTTCAAAATGTTTTAGTTATGACCAGTGGCGCCTTACTGAAGGTGAGTGGCGGAAGTTTCACATTTTGTTTTGTTTGTCCAAGATTAGTAGCCATATCTGCCGTATGAACCTTGCGTTTGATTGTTCATTTGATCACTTAATGCTTTAACAGATGGTGTACTGATACTATTACCACGTTTGCATAATGCATTAATAAGGCTCTCGAGATGCATATTTTATTTTTCTTATTCTGTTTTGAAGCGTGGTAATGTCATCACATTTTACATTGGATTTGTGTAATGTAGCCCGCGCAACGGTTACGATGAAATGCACAGCAGATAAGAGGTGGGTTTTCCTTTAATGGTTTTCTATGCAATATTTACAAGATGCATATACGTAATTGTACATGATTTGACTGAGGTAAGATAAAAAGTTTCCATTCCACCTGACTTCATGAAACCCTATGAAGCTCATTCATGAAAAAACATATGTAATGGACACTGGTTTGAGATTATCTATCCACAAATCAGAAAGGTAGAAGGCTGGATGTTTATAAAGCTACATAATGATATTGATATATATAATGTACTGCTCCAGGTTTTAACACGTATATGCTCTCCTTTAGTAATCCGTATCACTTACTGACAGTTGAATTATGTCAGGATATCGGTGTTTTGCTTCGCCACGTGTTCGACAAAACCTTTCGGATCCTAACAACCAATCACAAATGCCAATACAAGTTGTGTCGTTGAATTTCATTGGTCTATTGAGACAAGCCCCTACTACATGGACGATATTACATGTGTGTATACATGTGGATATTTAACATTGTCACATTGTTTTATGGAATTTTATTTTGTACAATAGATTTGACAACAAAAACATTTACGGTAAGTGGGATATTTCAAAATACTGTCATATGCTATTTTTAATATTCAAGAATTTGATCGTCTGGAATCAAGGACACATGAAATTACAGTAAGGTAAGTCCAAAACAAGCCAACCGTTACATTACGAGTTTAAAGCTTTCGATCGTCAGCCACTATTTCCAGTTTGAATTGAATGCACACAACAGTGTTGGTTTATTATAATACATTATAAGCCGGTATAACAATACACTATCTGAAAACCATGCATGTGTACTTGTTCGACAGCGCTAAAGGTATAACACATATAGCTAACACAGCTATATGTGATCGAGTTCAATAGTCCTGTAGTAAAAATCATTGGAGCAAAGCTGTATATGATATTGTACGGTTTATCGAGTAATTATAGAGAACCACTGGTGTGTGATGACTGGCCCAGATTTATGTTTTATGTAGTGGAACACCTCAGTATACATCGCGGTCCCTTTAAGCGTATGTCAGCTTGTTAAAATATCCATTTCCACATACATTTACTGACCTGAGATCAATGTAGTCAAAGAAAGTTTAAATTGCACAGACGTGCAAATTTCGACGAGAACATACAGTAACACCTATAGAAGTAACATAGACATCGCAAAACCATGATCCTCGGCTAGACAAGTACCCCATGACCTGTGTCTGCAATCTCCTAATTCGAGCATGGAAAAATCGATGGTACCACCATTTCTTTGTTACGTAGTCTTTGGAGTGCTTGCTTCGAATGGTTAATTCATAGCAAGTTTCAAGAGCGTATGAAAAACACAAGGTAATGTACACATGCTTGCTACATGTGTAATGGCAGTCTAAATGTAATTCAACCCATGCCATCCTATTTCCCGTAACAGTTCTAGAATTATCACACATGGGATGAGGTATAAATAATTGATCAAGTAGAAAATATTCTTTTTACGAAGTGCCTGTTTAACTTGTAGTAAACATATTTGATTATTTAAGCAATGGTTAATAGCTACCACAACATAAACAACTGCGTTATTCCCATTGTAAAGACAGTTACCGCTTATTTCTAGCCCTTGCTCCTGATTATTACATTACAAAAACACCAGGACAAAATCGGACCAAAGTGTCGAAAGTTACTTCACCTGTCTCCCGTTAGGACGCCTCTTGTCAAATCTAGGAAATCATATTGGTCAACTACTATCGTAGTACTTTCCAAAATAAAAACGAATGGCAGCGAATTGTTAAAGAGATGATAATAACATTGGCATACTGATCTGTTGTAGATACTAAATATATTTCACGAAATCCCTCAATCAACGGTTGTTTATAATGTATGACTACTTAATGAAGCAAGAGAACTTCGAGATCAAACACCACCGGATATCGTCATAAATATCATTAAGTTGATTCATTTGTAGAGACGCTTGGCTATTGGTAAGACTACTTCTTGTCCAGACGAGTAAAGGAGATGCTTGGTGGCTCGTTAGAGTCATATGACAAAACCTTGAGAAAAATGATGTCACCACATGTCAAACATAGTGTCTATTATGTTGAAATGGTTTCCCATTTAAACAGTTTGCTTATTTGTCACTTATCTGGATATTAAAGTAATTGGTTTCTATTTCACAAAATTCCATATTTCAATATATGACTCAGATATGTAACGCGACAGATGGATAATCGTTTGCTTGTTCCTGTTGGATTCAGAAAGATTTCCACAATAACTTATGGATAAAAATCTAGAAATCCATGATTATCTTACAAACAGTATATGGCGTGGTTTATGGAAATGTAACCAGAGTCTCACATAGCCCCCTTTATCAGCTCCTGTCTTACCTAAATCTGTATATTATATCCATAGATGCATATTCTAGTGAACAATGATGTAAAAAGGTTAATACCTAAGTTTGACACATTGTTTTATGTTTAGCACCGTCTGTGTATGACTTATAAGTGACAATATACATACAACTAAATATCACTAGTATTGCAAAACTGCGTATTTAGGTCAAATTTTATTACATGTTATAATATTCGATTTTTGTGTTGAATCTAACTAAATATATCTAATGCTATGCGAGTATTGATTTTATAGTTTGTTATAGATATAAATCTTTTGTCGTGAAAACATAAAGTAACAGCATGTAATAGAGATGTGGTGTGGCCAGAACACATTTGAAGTCGATGCAAATATTTACTGAAAATGTGTTACATCAATATGATTGGACATTAGAGAGGGACCCCCCCCCCCCCCCCCCCCCCCCCCNTAAGTTGAAGTTGAGAGAAATTAACTGCCTTATGACCAAGTATAGCGTCAATGTAAATGGTTATAAAGATATTGTTATAACCAAATATCATAAAAACAGATACAATATCCTGGTATAACTGGTCATCGTCACTATTAAGATACATTCATCGGATGGTATTCTCTTGTTTTGTTGTAAGGAACACGTACAACACTTTCGTTTCATTCCAGTTATTTAGCAGCTCATCATGACCTATACGAAGTATTGTTTTTTTCTACTTTTTTGTAGTGGATTTGTAATTAAACTCGCTATATATAGATTTTCTCATCATACACTGTAAATCTCGTGTCGATAAATATAGCTCTTCCAGAACTCTGACGACATTTCAGCTTAAATATAACTATAATTGCATCGATGAATAGTTTTTGTCCTCGTCATTTTCAATCATTCCCCAGGTAATTAAAACTTAAAAGATTATAGAAATTAAACTTTAAAAGGGTTTTAAATATATGCTTCGTTACTTTGTATTTTAAGCGGTTATTTTTGGTTTCATTGTTGATTATTCCAGTTATTCACTCAATAAATGAAACACGAAACCAAATGTAGTACGTGTTCTTTAAAATAACTGATGATTGATTATTTAAACTGTTGTCACCAGACCTTTGCCCTGTTGCTGTTTATGTCCTGGTATGCTAAGGCTTAAACTCAAAGTTGCTTTCGTTTTGTGTTGGCTGATGTCCATATGAAGCTACATGAATTGATATTACATAAATACATCCACTTCTTACCCCGGTAGGTCGAACAATTGGCGTATTTATAAATCTGATCGTAATTTCTAGGAAAATGAGATGTCAACTTAGACTGGGCCTTTTTGCATCAAGCATCAGAGATTAAAAATGATCTAAGATAATTGATACAGTAGTACTGTTTCTGATCAAAACATATATAAATATATTTGAAAAGTATATATAAGCACTAATAAACTAAAAATAACTTGTTGAATTGATTCCAGACAGTTAAACTTTGCACAACCAAACATCCAATGAATTCCGAAGTGTTAGCAAAATCGTAATTCGAACTTACAATTAATGAAACTAGTGCAAAATATGAACATTTTTGAAAATTGAATATAAAATTTGCACGGCGTTATTGTAGTACAAGCATTACCTTAAACGAAACTACATTGAAGACACGCTGTTTTATCGCAATGTCATCAGTTCTAAAACCCAATCATGCTCATAATGAATTGAACACTAGGTGTACCTATAAATAAGTCGAGAGAATTGACATTATAAGTAGACCTTTTCATGGAATGCGATATATTTTGGGAAGGTATAGGAATCGGCAAGGTTGGAGCATATCCATTTTACCACTTTGACCAAGGTATATGGCAGAAAAAATCACTACACTAAGAAGTGCTGCGATGTTAGTTTGCACATTAACAAGAGTGTTAATATTACTATAGTTGGAAAGAACCGCGAGTTCAAATACTTTTTTTTAAATAATACATATTTTGGACGAGTGAACCTTCTCGTTGGAGGAAACGATCGGTTGCTGAGAATTCAAAGAAATACATATAAAGTATATATTTTACATTTAAGATTAATAGCCTATTAGGAAAAAAACGATGTGGAAAGCGTTATGTGAAGCGAAGATAAATGTTTGATTGCTCACTGTGTCTGATATTGAGAGTGCACTACATACTGTCATTGATTTGACAGGATAAATCATGACGAATGCCACATGTGGTGGAGGTAAAGTTTAAACTTCCGGAACAACTGGGTTTCGTAAGTTTAATAAATGCTGAATACTACGTGAAAGATAAAAAAAAATATGTACATTGCTACATTAAACACACTGAAATTAATTTTACATAATAACATTTTTTCATTCTTTTTTTTTCCAGCGAAAACTTGAGGAGATTTCAAAGAGTGTTCCACAATGGCAAAAGTAATATCAAATTTTGCAAGAAGGACTAGAACTTTAATGAATGCTCCCGTACTAGCGTGTAAAGCTGGTAGTGTAACGTGTTCAAAGAATTGGCGCCTGAACTCGTCTTTCGTAGGGGCTGACGCCGAGGGAGTGAACCCACTGCACCCAAAGATTCTCATAACAGGTAATTAAACAAATAACCAGTATAGAGTTTTCGCTATGAACTTAAAACGTGAATATTGCCTTCTATTAACAGACACAGGTATGAGGTCATCGTTTTCACCAATAAGGGAATTATTTTATCGAAGAGGTTAATAGATGCCATGATGAATGTTTTCTGATTTCATAAACGTAATGACCCAATTGGTAATATTCTAATAGTTATTCTGTTCTAATCATAACCGAAAATAAAAAGATAGCCTGAATTTGAGAAATTAATTACGAAAAATATAATGTTTCAGCAAGTTTTCTTAAACGACTATATGTAGATGACAATCTGATTAAAATCATATGTTACATGGCTTCGTTAACTTCGTACTACGCCTGAACATCTGAGTGTGCCACGGTCAGGGTCAAGTTCAGGTGATCATGACCTTTATATTTATAAATACTCATTAAATTTTGACCAATCAGAGACCCTCTTTCAAAAGGGCGCTCGGAGTTGTAACAAATATGTCGGACATTGATGAGAATGATGCGAAAGTTCTGAAGTTATTTGAGATTGATCATCTGAAACCTGAACAGAAAAAGATACTCGAAGGTTTATTAGAGAAGAAATACTGTATAGCGGTGTTGCCTACGCAATTATTACCCCATGGGTACGTTTTCCTTGGCGTCCTAGAAACCTCAGTTCCCGCCGCCACATTTGTTTTGGAAAACTAATCTGTTCGATACCCCTCGCTATTTATCTATCAACCATGATATTCCGATTCGCTGGTAAACTTTTGCCAGCGCGCCTCTGATTGGTTCATCTAAAGGTCAATTGAACGTGACCCTGACCGCGGCACATTCAGATGTTCAGGCGGAGCCATATAACATGATTTTAATCAGATTGTGTAGATTAGAGTTCATAATTTACTTCCTATTAGAATCAAACCCTTTAACCATTTAAATGAGGGGGTTTATTTGGAAATCTAGACGGTTCGGTTCCTCTTTTGTGTTTATTATGTTATTGTTGCAGTTTCTTTGCGATTTTGTCTTCCGATTTCGTAGTGTTGAAGCCATGCCTATTTCCTGTTTCATTTCCACCTTAATTAGATACAATATCGCAACCCTAAATCATAATACGTGATGTAAACAAACAGGTCAAGGTCAGATGACTACGTCAAACCAGACATACATACTATTTATATTTCCTAATCATTTGGTTTATAAAATTAAACATATATCTATCTCGACGCATTCTCTAAGTACATGTTAAAGTAATATTTGACTAAGCATAAAATAGACTTTGGCTAAGAGCAAACAATTACTGACATTTAATGTGTTGCACTTGCATTCCATGCTAAATGTTATGTAAAACTAAATGCTTTTTTGTAAGATATCACATGTTTGTTAAAATTACGATACTATTATACAATGAAGATTCACAGATATTACATTAAGTAAAGAAGGCCTGATATTTTCAGTTGAACATTAACATTTCTGTTATATTTATTGAACCATATATTGAACCATAACATGATCATATAACCTTGATTTTTATATGTTACTATAGATTCAAATTCAACTTACAATTTGGTCACTAAACATTAAGTTTGTTTAAAATCTCAAATGATTAAGCATTTTCAAATAGAATTTACACGTATCTTTCTATTTTACTTGAAATAGCTTTAAAAAGCGTATGTATCATGTATATGCTAACTTATCCCGTCTCGTTAATAACCTATTTTGAACAAAATGTATGATGAAATACTGCAGTGAAATTTGAGAACGTTACAACTTGAATCATACGGGAGACATTTTAAATTCGCTATATATAGATTTGGTCATGGTTCGCAGTAAATCTTGTGTCGATCGTTTTATTCGTAGCGGAGCTCTGACGTTATGCCAGCTATATATAGAGCTATGGCATTTCGTTTCTTATTTGAAATAGAGTGCAAAACATACTACAAGCAAATGTAGAAATAGGATTGTGCAATGGAAAACTACTGGTGTGCAAACACAAATAGGAAATATCACCATAAAAAAGTGTTTTTACATGCAGTTTTTGCTAACATCACTTTGACATGTTTAGAAAATGTCACTGAATTGCAATTAAATTTATTCAAATACACATATTTGTTTGATGTAAATATAACTTAATGTTATATCTATCTTGTTCGTCTGCTGGATAACCGAACTACTCGGTTGTGAAGTGGACGTAAAACCAATTAATCAGTTAAATTCTTCCTCGTCATTTTCTTTCCGGATCCAGTTATATGAATACATTATAAGCTTAACATGCCTGTATATGTTAAACTTTATATCAAGCGTTATATGACTTATAAGCTGCAGTAATTTTATTCAATATATCAATATGTAGTAAACTATAAAGATGATTACCATGATACAGATTTGTCATGTTTCCTTATTTCAAGATATGTGAATTCGATCTTTCCTACTTATTCAGCTGGTATAAAGTTTGTTGACATCTTGTCTAGATCAATTGAAACCTGGCTTGTCTTCAAAGCTATATTAACTATTTGTGAAATATTCATATTCACTATTGGCTGTTTTGTTGCTAAAGGTGTAATGAAATATATCCTGAACGTATGATTCACCTGAACTTACGACACTAGAACAGTTAAGGTCATGCCTCAATGCTAAACGATTGCATGATAAGTATTTATATTTCAAATTGGATTGTTATATCTTCAAGTACATGTATACATTTTTGTTTCAAATTTAACGTTCTTTTAAACCTCCCTACAATTTTAGATATGCAACTTTTCGGTTATCAAACTTCCATGAATGAGTTTCTTCGATATTAATGTTTGTTAAAGTAATATGAAGTAAGATGATTAATATTCTAATGAAACATTGAAATGTGACGGTATTCATATTATTTTCTATTAAAAGGAAAATGTGTTCACTTACTTGCCTCATATGCTGGAACTGTTTTGTAATTGTATTGTAATTCATTATATATTTGTTGATGTTCACAATAACCTAGCTGATTGGCAATTGCATACAACAAATGTTTTAAAATCTTGAAACAATAGCTCAATGTGCATGCCAGGGCATATTAAAAGAGGAAACAGTAACATTTTTGTTTATTCTTCTTTTACCTCTTAAAGGTGACCCGTGAAGCTTGCAATTATTTCAATATAGATATGCACATGCCTACATAACGCTACACGTAGTTCTTCTTTCTTTAAGTTCTATTTGTTTTTGAGTGTTTTTTTTAACGGCGGTGTTGTAATTATTTTTCGTAATTTCGTAAAATAAATTTCTTTGTTATTTAAGAATTGTATATCAGACGGTATAAAACTCATTGAATGGATTCGACTTATACACAATACAAAATAAGAATACTCTGTGGTGTTAACTGCGGCGGCCCTGAATTGGGCTCTGACGGTGATCGATTGTCGTCATGGCTGTCAGTCTTAGGACCCGATCAGAAAACCTCACTAGCGAACACTGTAGCTTAGATATTAGATGACTCACGTAAACGCACATACATGTATAACCTCAACGACATTTTATAATAGATCCTCAAGGTAAAGAAAGGGTGAAAAACATACTACATGCAAATGTAGAAATAGGATTGTGCAATGGAAAACTACTGGTGTGCAAACCTAAATAGGCGATATCACCATAAAAAGTGTTATACATGCAGTTTCTGCTAACATCACTTTGACATGTTTAGAAAATGTCATTAAATTGCAATGAAATAAACATATTTGTTTGATTTAAAACATGGATGAAAAATGTAATTCTTAACCTTGATATCTCTAGAATATTGACATTAACACGTTTTCTTCCTAAAATGTCTATTGTAGGTAGCCTCGGCCAGCTCGGCACTGGACTAGCCAGGGAACTCAGGTACTGTAGCCAGATTTTGCCACCATGCCATTGAAGCAGTTCATGTTGCCTTTCTTTTCTTTCGGTGTCACTAGTTCCTGTTGTTTACGTTAGAATTCGGTTGTTGTAAGTTGACGCTTTTGTATTTTTCTTTGTCATTGTGTGTTGTCACAATGTAACAGAACTGGATTTTGGCGATCGCCGATGTCAATCTGTATCTTAGTTGGTTAGAGTGTCCGTTTACCAAACATTGTTGTAAGCTATGAAAGGGAACAGTTAAATCTTATTTGTAAATAATAGTAAATGACATCGAAAAGTTTTGAACAGTTAATGAACTTTCGTATACTATTAAAATATTACCAACTGTCCTGAAGAAAGAAACTAATATATTAGAGAAATGTTTTTACCTGATCGCACGAGTGATTATTCATCACACATTCTGCAAACTCATACATTTACATTGTTCTTATACACTGATATATACATCACAATAACCGTACATTTCCCCCATGACAGTTTACATTGTCATCAAACATTTCCATTCTAATTATTGTAAAATGTCAGCCGATATGGACCATAGATTTCAACTCGTCTTAGCTGCGTCATCATAAATGCAGAATGACATGCTATTATTTATCTGATAACTTTATATCACTTTCATTTTTAAGTGTAAGTAAAATGGCATTCATAGGTGTTTTAATTCATAAATAAATATACATTAAATATCACGTTTAAACAGCTCATTGTTGGTGACATGTGTGTGTTTACGCTCCATTGGTCTCGCACACGTTCTGTCTAGGTAGCAAATATGCACAACTAGGCGATTTTTTGTAATAGAGTCATTTTGTGGCCTTTACATTCCAGAATGTGCAATATGTACATACGGCATTGAGAGCCGTGTATACATTATATATATGCACATTAGGAATTCTATTCACAAACAAGGTGCCTTATAATTTACAGTGGGTGCTGTACAGCACTCAATTTAGCGTGTGAATCAACATAACTTCCTTTTCTTATGGTATTAAACATGCTAAACTGAACCCGTCTTTTACACCACCTTTTTATATCTACAACCTATCTATTACTATATATCACATTTAACTATAACCTGTCTGCAGCTACTGGTTTACTTATTCGTTGAATGCATCTTTTTCCATATTAGTATCCCGTTAATACATGTACAGACAACTTGTCAGACCAATTTTGCATCTTCCTTGTTCGAACGTTAGATATGTGACCTCATTTCAAAAATGTATTGTACAAAACATTTAAATTTGTAGACAAGGACACTCAATACACTATTTAATGATCTAATATAAACAATTTTACTACGTCGGCTATATAACGGCATTTAGCATTGGTGAGAATCCAGGAACAACGGCCAAGCATAGGCCCAATTAATAATCGAATGTTAATGGCATTTATAAGACATAATTGAATACAAAAAATACGTCTTTTTTTCAGGCAAAAATATGGACGAAACAATGTGATTATGTCCGATATCATCAAACCTTCAAAAGAAGTCAAGGAAAGCGGTGTGTATTGTTCTATATACGTTATTGACACAGGATTTCTTTCTCATTGTCATGAGGAAATCTGTCACTGAAAAATTGTAGTACTAACGACGATAAAATAGAAGAAAATCATAATTGTTTTTTCGTTTTTCATTTTCGGTACCGGTATAAATTATGTATTTTACCTATTTGTTTAGGTCCCTACCTGTTCGCTGACATCCTCGAGTTTAAGGCCCTCCAGGAGATGATAGTGACACATGACATTGACTGGATCATCCACTTCAGTGCCCTTCTCAGTGCTGTAGGCGAGAACAATGTGCCTCTAGCTATGAGGGTCAACATAGAGGGTCTCCACAACGTCCTCGAACTGGCAAGACAGTATCGACTTAAACTTTTTGTCCCGAGTACCATTGGTAAGATATACCACGGTCGTTTCCTTTAACAGCTTTTAACGAACGGTAACAGAGTCTATGCATGTCTAAGTTCTAATAAAGGTGCATAATTTGATTTTTCATCCCTAAAAAATATTCGCTAGGACGATTGGCATGCTGTTTAGTGTAAACCACTTGTTCTTTGGACTTGGCGACATTCCCATGCAGTTCCTGTTATTATGTGCCACAAATATTGCTTAGTTAAAAATGGTTTTAGAAGTTTGGAAAATTTTGACAGAAATGAATTTGGTGAAGGTGATTGTGGATCGTCTTCTCATTGTTTGAGATAATTAATGGTAAAACACAGTTTCTTTTGGGGCAAACGTGTTCATATTTGGGAATGAAAAATAGTAAACATAAGTTTTGTCAAATGATTGACTTTTAACTTCTATGATTCCAGGTGCGTTCGGTCCCGACTCGCCAAGAAATCCAACACCAGACATGTGTATACAGCGACCACGGACTATTTACGGGGTATCTAAAGTACACGCAGAACTTATGGGGGAGGTATGCTATTCAATTGTGCAGATGAAACAATGTAGACAACAACTTCATGTTGATGTGGACAGTATGACAAGGTGTGAGGAAGTAGGACTAACCCCTGTCTTGAGAAGGAATGATTAAGTGGTCCTCCTCCCCAAAACAGGTTTAACATTGTGTGATCATGGTGCCTTCTGGGTAATTTTATCAGTGTGCAACATATTTTTGCTTTATCTGTAAACTAATAGATTTGTCAAGGCCATCTTCTTGTTTTATCATATTAACTACATTAGTATTGGAATACTTTAAAGTTTTCTTTACCTCGTAACTTTTTGAGGATTTTGTTTTGAAATGATTTTAATGTAAAATATTTGATGAAGAGAAACATGCTAACATCCCAAAAACATTGTCTTACATGTCCTCGTTATTAAAAAAAAGTGAATCATTCAGATGTTTCAGTTTTGTAACATGACTTGGTTTTTGTTTAATTTGTCTTCTATACTTGCTTTTGTGCTCAGCTGTTGAATTTTACTCAACATTTTTTCTTACATTTTCTTTGGTTCAATACCAGCAGAATTGACGACTCTAGATTTTATTTGTATGGACATTTTCCCTTTTTTCAGTATTACTTCCACAAATATGGACTCGATTTTAGAAGTCTAAGGTTTCCAGGGGTTATCTCCGCCGACACCCACGCTGGAGGAGGTACTACTGGTACGTACAACATATACTACTCACAAAAATAAACCTGAGTGATTTTACTCACTTTCAAAGATACGCTGTTTCTTAAAAGATAGATTCTCTTGAAAGCTTTATTTTTTAGTGCTATACTAATGTGTTTAATCTGTCCATACTGTCAAAGGGCCATGGCTTATATGGCAGTAGAATCGTCCTAAAGAAATTTGCTAAAACTTGTAGTTTCTTAAACTTTACACCATTATCAGAGTTTTACACAAACACATACATGTACTATCTTGCATTTGTTGTTATAACATATAATTTCTTGTATTTGTTGTACAAGTTATGTTTAAAAAAGTTGTCTCAATGTCAAAAGGCCACGCAGCAACAAAGTGGATTAAGACAGATGTGTTTTCAAGACATGACAATAGACGTAACATGATACTTCCCTTATGTTACCCTTACTTTAGTCTGAATTTAACATCAATATGTTTGAAAATAGATCACACATCTTCAAAATGGTGGCAAGTTTACGCGCCATGCATATGAATGGGAGTTTTCTGTCATATTTAATTCCCCGAATGAGATTTAAACATTTATAATCTCAAAATGTGTTTCCGTTTAATGATGATAATTACACACACCAGACGGCACCTAGAAGGTGATATGGTAATACCCCGTGATAGTGTCGGGTACCACACCGGCTACTGCACTGCTACATGTATATAGCCAGACACTATTTGAAAGCTCAACAGAGCGCATCAGGCACTTTATTTTATATCTTTATAGGTAAGATCACATTTCTGTAGCGATTACCCCACAAAATGGGGCAACAGCCTTCCATTGCGTTAAGTAAGACCGTTGCATAACGAATGTATTCGACACATCAACTCGATTGGACAATAACCTATATATTCGACGTTGTCCTTGACTCTTATTTGTCTAATTCAAATTTTACAACTTATTAACGTGAACATATTTACAGATATGAGGCAATCTATAATAGGTCTTGGATTCTTTATTACCACATGGTTAATGAAAAATTAGGGGCGGATGTCGCTACATAAAGGAGTTCAGTATTATCATTGTTGAAGTCTCCATGATTGACGATTGGAAACAAGTGTTCGATTTGTTGAATTTTATTGACTTAACATCAGAGGATGTCTGTACCCAGGATCCTTTTTATAGCATTGTATTGTGTTTTGTGGTACGCCAGCTAAACACAACTTTTGCTATGATCTGCAGGTCAGTTTCATACAGTTTCACGTCGATAATGTTTTTTCATAATACGGTTATTAATAAACAAGAAATGAAGTAACTTTACGTTTGACTTGGGCACATAAGATTCAAGAATGTTCGAATATGAAATATGATATAGGAGAGAATATTAGTGGGAAGTGTGACCTAAATTGCCATGTGATCGACATAGACTGATAATCATGCACGAATATTTCTTCTTTTTCATGGCTCGAGTGAATTTCACTTCTAGATAAGATTTTTGTAAAGTTAAAAGAGTGGTATTTCTTTAGGTTTCTGAAATCTTTTTTCTAGACTATGCTGTCGCCATTTTCCACGAGGCACTGAGGACGGGTACCTTTAACTGTTATCTAAGACCAGACACACGAATGCCTATGATGTACATTACCGACTGTCTGAAATCTGTGGCCCAGTTTATGGAGGTGCCGGACTCGGACATGAAACTGCGGACTTATAACGTGACAGCGATGAGCTTCACGCCCGAGGAACTGGCCGAGGAGGTCAAAAAATACGTACCGAATTTCACGATTACGTATAACCCAGACGGAAGGCAGCAGATCGGTGAGTTTGGACAGAGTAACGTGTTATATAAGTATATATATAACAGTAAAAGCTGGCCGTGAGGTCAAGAAAATCCGCAGGTTTTTGAAGCCGGGAGAGTTGGTAGACATCATATTTTTGTTAATAGAGTTAAGATTGTGCTGTCTCAAATTAAGTATTAAAACAAGTAGATGGTTGAACTCACCAAGACAAAATTGATAACTTGAAAGTGTGGTGGTTAAACGTGGCTCAATAAAATAGGAGAACCCCTATAATAAGTGGTGATGACCCTATAATCAGTGGTGATAACCCTATAATCAGTGGTGATACCCCTATAATAAGTGGTGATACCCCTATAGTCAGTGGTGATACCCCTATAGTCAGTGGTGATAACCCTATAATCAGTGGTGATACCCCTATAGTCAGTGGTTGATACCCCTTTAATCAGTGGTGATAACCCTATAATCAGTGGTGATACCCCTATAATCAGTGGTGATACCCCTATAATCAGTGGTGATACCCTTATATTCAGTGGTGATACCCTTAAAATTAGTGATTGATACCCCTATAATCAGTGGTGATACCCCTATAATCAGTGGTTATAACCCTATAATCAGTGGTGATACCCCTATAGTCAGTGGTTGATATCCCTTTAATCAGTGGTGATAACCCTATAATCAGTGATTAATACCTCTATATTCAGTGGTGATACCCTTATAATTAGTGATTGATCCCCCTATAATCAGTGGTGATACCCCTATAATCAGTGGTTATAACCCTATAATCAGTGGTGATACCCCTATAATTAGTGTTTGATACCCCTATAATCAGTGGTGATACTCCTATAATCAGTGGTGATAACCCTATAATCAGCGGTGATACCCTTATAATTAGTGATTGATACCCCTATAATAAGTGGTGATAACCCTATAATCAGTGGTGATTCCCCTATAATCAGTGGTGATACCCTTATAATTAGTGTTTGATACCCCTATAATGAGTGGTGATACCCCTATAATCAGTGGTGATTCCCCTATAATCAGTGGTGATAACCCTATAAGTGGTGATACCCTTAAAATTAGTGATTGATCCCCCTATAATCAGTGGTGATACCCCTATATTCAGTGGTGATACCCTTATAATTAGTGAATGATACCCCTATAATCAGTGGTGATACCCCTATAATCAGTGGTGATAACCCTATAATCAGTGGTGATACCCCTATAATCAGTGATGATAACCCTATAATCAGTGGTGATACCCTTATAATTAGTGTTTGATACCCCTATAATCAGTGGTGATACCCCTATAATCAGTGGTTATATCCCTATAATCAGTGGTGATTCCCCTATAATCAGTGATGATAACCCTATACTCAGTGGTGATACCCTTATAATTAGTGAATGATACCCCTATAATCACTGATTATAGGGGTATTAATACCCCAATAATCAGTTATTAATCCCCCTATAATCAGTGATGATAACGCTATAATCAGTGGTGATGCCCCTATAATCAGTGGTCGATACCCCTAAAATCAGTGGTGATAACCCAATAATCAGTGGTGATACTACTATAATCAGTGATTAATAGCCCAATAATCAGTTATTAATACTCCTATAATCAATGGTGATAACCCTATAAACTAATCAGTGGTGATACCCCTATAATCAGTGGTGATACCCCTATAATCAGTGATTAATACCCCAATAATCAGTTATTAATACCCCTATAATCAGTGGTGATACCCCTATAATCAGTGATGATAACCCTATAATCAGTGGTGATACCCTTATAATTAGTGATTGATACCCCTATAATCAGTGGGGATACCCCTATAATCAGTGGTGATAACCCTATAATCAGTGGTCGATACCCCTATAATCAGTGGTGATAACCCTATAATGAGTGGTGATACCCCTATAATCAGTGGTGATAACCCTAAAATCAGTGGTGATACCCCTATAATCAGTGGTGATAACCCTATAATCAGTGGAGATACCCCTATAATCAGTGATTAATACCCCAATAATCAGTTATTAATACCCCTATAATCAGTGGTGATACCCCTATAATTAGTGGTGATAACCCTATAATCAGTGGTGATACCCATATATTCAGTGGTGATACCCTTATAATTAGTGATTAATACCCCTATAATCAGTGGTGATACCCCTATAATCAATGGTGATAACCCTATAATCAGTGGTGATACCCCTATAGTCAGTGGTTGATACCCCTATAGTCAGTGGTTGATACCCCTTTAATCAGTGGTGATACCCCTATAATCAGTGGTGATACCCTTATAATCAGTGATTGATACCCCTATAATCAGTGGTGATAACCCTATAATCAGGGGGGATACCCCTATAATCAGTGGTGATAACCCTATAATGAGTGGTGATACCCCTATAATCAGTGGTGATAACCCTAAAATCAGTGGTGATAACCCTATAATCAGTGATTAATACCCTTATATTCAGTGGTGATACCCTTATAATTAGTGATTAATACCCCTATAATCAGTGGTGATACCCCTATAATTAGTGGTGATAACCCTATAATCAGTGGTGATACCCATATATTCAGTGGTGATACCCTTATAATTAGTGATTGATACCCCTATAATCAGTGGCGATACCCCTATAATCAGTGGTGATAACCCTATAATCAGTGGAGATACCCCTATAATCAGTGGTGATAACCCTATAATCAGGGGGGATACCCCTATAATCAGTGGTGATAACCCTATAATGAGTGGTGATACCCCTATAATCAGTGGTGATAACCCTAAAATCAGTGGTGATACCCCTATAATCAGTGGTGATACCCCTATAATCAGTGGTGATAACCCTAAAATCAGTGGTGATACCCCTATAATCAGTGATTAATACCCTTATATTCAGTGGTGATACCCTTATAATTAGTGATTGATACCCCTATAATCAGTTGTGATACCCCTATAATCAGTGGTAATACCCCTATAATCAGTGGTGATACCCCTATATTCAGTGGTGATACCCTTATAATTAGTGATTGATTCCCCTATAATCAGTGGTGATAACCACTGATTATAGGGTTATCACCTCTGATTATAGGGGTATCACCACTAATATAAGGGTATTAATCACTGATTATAGGGGTATCACCCCTGATTATAGGGTTATCACCACTTATTATAGGGGTATCACCACTGATAACCCTATAATCAGTGGTGATAACCCTATAATCAATGGTGATAACCCTATAATCAGTGGTGATAACCCTATAAACAGTGGTTGATACCCCTAAAATCAGTGGTGATACCCCTATAGTCAGTGGTTGAAATTCCTATAATCAGTGGTGATTCCCCTATATTCAGTTGTGATTCCCCTATAATCAGTGGTGATAACCCTTTAATCAGTTGTGATTCCCCTATAATCAGTGGTGATACCCCTATAATAAGTGGTGATACCCCTATAATCAGTGTTGATACCCCTATAGTCAGTGGTGATAACCCTATAGTCAGTGGTTGATACCCCTTTAATCAGTGGTGATAACCCTATAATCAGTGGTCGATACCCCTATAATAAGTGGTGATAACCCTATAATCAGTGGTGATACCCCTATAATCAGTGGTCGATACCCCTAAAATCAGTGGTGATAACCCTATGATAAGTGGTGATACCCCTATAATCAGTGGTGATACCCCTATATTCAGTGGTGATACCCCTATAATCAGTTGTGATTACCCTATAATCAGTGGGGATACCCCTATAATCAGTGATTAATACCCTTATATTCAGTGGTGATACACTTATAATTAGTGATTGATACCCCTATAGTCAGTGGTGATAACCCTATAGTCAGTGGTTGATACCCCTTTAATAAGTGGTCATACCCCTATAATCAGTGGTGATACCCCTACAATCAGTGGTGATACCCCTATAATCAGTTGTGATTACCCTATAATCAGTGGTGATTCCCCTATAATCAGTGATTAATACCCTTATAATCAGTGATTAATACCCCTATATTCAGTGGTGATACACTTATAATTAGTGATTGATACCCCTATAATCAGTGGTGATACCCCTATAATCAGTGGTGATAACCCTATAATCAGTTGTGATTACCCTATAATCAGTGGTGATACCCCTATAATCAGTGATTAATACCCCAATAATCAGTGATTAATACCCCTATAATCAGTGATTAATACCCCTATAATCAGTGATTAATACCCCTATAATCAGTGATTAATACCCCTATAATCAGTGATTAATACCCCTATAATCAGTGGTGATACCCCTATAATCAGTGGTGATAACCCTATAATCAGTGGTGTTAACCCTATAATCAATGGTGATAACCCTATAATCAGTGGTGATAACCCTATAAACAGTGGTTGATACCCCTATAATCAGTGGTGATACCCCTATAGTCAGTGGTTGAAATTCCTATAATCAGTGGTGATACCCCTATATTCAGTTGTGATTCCCCTATAATCAGTGGTGATACCCCTTTAATCAGTTGTGATTCCCCTATAATCAGTGGTGATACCTCTTTAATCAGTGGTGATACCCCTATAATCAGTGGTGATAACCCTATAATCAGTGGTGATACCCCTATAGTCAGTGGTTGATACCCCTATAGTCAGTGGTTGATACCCCTTTAATCAGTGGTGATACCCCTATAATCAGTGGTGATACCCCTAGAATCAGTGGTGATAACCCTATAATCAGTGGTCGATACCCCTATAATCAGTGGTGATAACCCTATAATCAGTGGTCGATACCCCTTTAGTCAGTGGTTGATACCCCTTTAATCAGTGGTGATACCCCTATAATCAGTGGTGATACCCTTATAATCAGTGATTGATACCCCTATAATCAGTGGTGATAACCCCATAATCAGTGGTGATAACCCTATAATCAGTGGTCGATACCCCTATAGTCAGTGGTTGATACCCCTTTAATCAGTGGTGATGCCCCTATAATCAGTGGTGATACCCTTATAATCAGTGATTGATACCCCTATAATCAGTGGTGATAACCCTATAGTCAGTAGTGATACCCCTATAATCAGGGGTGATAACCCTATAATCAGTGGTGATAACCCTATAGTCAGTGGTGATAACCCTATAATCAGTGGTGATACCCCTATAATCAGTGGTGATAGCCCTATAATCAGTGGTCGATACCCCTATAATCAGTGGTGATACCCCTATAATAAGTGGTGATACCCCTATAATCAGTGGTTATACCTCTATGCATGTTGTGGTGATTGTGGTTTCATTTTCATACCTGATATAAATCATCAAATGATTGATTATTGTATTTGTCGATTTTCTGGAGTGGTCTTAGGGCAAATTTAATAAATGCGAAGCAGTCTATGTCGAATTTGTCTTAAGGAAAAAATCAATCCAATATTTCATGGATTCAACCAAAGCAATATTCATTACATTGCAATTAAATCAGTTTTTTAATACACCGCACCTGTTAGACTTTACCAATAGGAACTTAATTACTAAAGCGTGTGTATGTTTAAATGAAATTTTGAGGTTAGAATAAAGTCCAGCATGGAATGTGCGTTGTCGTAATTCAATATTTTCATTGAAAAACATAGTTGAATTATGTACCAACGCATTTTGTCAATATGCTTTGTAAATAGATATTCAAGAATTCCAAAGCCTTTCTACTGTTGTATTACTGGCTAAACAAGATTTACACGCACAGGCAATGTCAATGTGGATAATGTCATTTGGCTAATTCCCCACAAATTTCAGTAAAAATTGAAATATTTGAAAATTGAATTCTTATCACTTTTAGTTTTATTCTATATCCTTAAATTAGAAGCTGGTGAGGTCTCTCTTTTTTTCTGTTTCCATCGTTTCATTTCAAAATCAATCAGATTTAATGGGAATTGGGCAACAGGCAAAGCCTATACAAGCCCTCTCCCAGGAGGTACATCTCAAACAATAGCAATATTATGAACTATGAATATTTCATAATGAACATGCTTTAGGAACATAAGAATTAGATCAGTGTCAATGATGAAAGGAGACACCATACTTACACACATGCATGTATACATACATGTACAAACATACAAACACTCCAAGTTTAAGTGTAAATTTAAGTTTGTGTCGCGCTGTAAATGAGACAGAGATATTAGCATATTTTGTCTTTGAGTCATTTATCTAGAGCAATGCAGAAAGAAGTGACTCACATCTTCATTAATGTAACCACATATATAGGAGGGATTATCATTATGACGGTCTCTAAAGAGATCAGGGTTCAACTGACTTGCACGATTTCGAAGTTAACATAATATTATGTTAAAAGATCTAGTCCCTTCATGTTTAAAAATCTTAGTACATATATCTTCATTATTCTGGGATATGGCATGATGAACAGGTTGTTTTTTGAGTTCACTAATAGATCTCAGATTATAATAGTTACATTCCGGTTTATTCCACCAAGACATTATGCTAGAAAAGAAACTGTTGAAATATGCATTAGATCTACAAATTGGTGGTTCAAATATACGTTGATGTCGGACATGATGGGTCATAGCTTCATTGCTGACTATATAAGGTTCAACAATTTCAAAAAGATAATTAGGACTAACATGGTTAATTATTTTAAAAAACAATATATGCTGCTGATCCTTTCTACGTTTCTTAAGAGTATCCCATCCAATTTCATTATAAATGATTTCATGACTAGTACCTCTTGGGAGACCAGTAACTATTCTAGCAGCATCTAGCTGGATAGGTTCAGGAAGATCTGATTCAGTTTGATTACAATTATTCCATACAACACTAGCATACTCAAGATTTGGACGAATATATGACTTGTATATCATTTCTAGAGATTTCCTATCAAGTTTGTGTTTGAGTGACCTAAATATATGCATCTTATTACATGTATTATTATATATGAAATTTATGTGATCAGACCACAAACCATGGCTGTTAAAGTTTCCATCGTCTACCTTTATCCTCGACTGTGAGCTCCAGACTTGTCTGAGTATATTGACACTTTGGTATAACTTTTCCAATCGATTCTAATTTTTCTAACGAGCTGTTTCTATGATACCTCAATCAGTGTCCACTGTTTAATTCATACAATCAATTGTTCCAACAGCCGACTCGTGGCCTGAGGTGTTTGACGACCACAACGCACGTGCAGACTGGGGATGGAAACACGAACATGACCTCCAGGCAATGTGCAAGATTATATTTGACGCCATCACGCCCATGTACAGGTGAAAAACACGCGACAAGTAATCCAGTACGCATACAAGTTCTGATAAACACTTCTTTTGAATAATAGAAGGTCAGTTGAAGCTTCCATACCGGTGACCACCAACGTCTCATTGTAGCGTTTAAATGGAGAAGAATCTGAAGGTATAAAAGAGAAAAGAAAAGCATGGATCTAATGCACCAGGTTATAACAAATCACTATTGATGACAAAAGATGTTTGCAATTAATTCATTTTATTACATTCTAAAGAGGTTTGATTAAAAAATATAAGATCATATGGACTATATAAGTAATTATATGACTCCTCGTTTTCGGCACTACATTTTTTGTATTTGTATTTGTGTGTTTTTTAACTGTTTAAGTCTTCGTCGTCTTCCCTTTTGGTGAAAACGACACGTTTGTATTTGCATTTTTAAAATCGCAAAATATTCAAAACATAACTGCACATTCAATTTGTCGTTTTGTAAATGAACCACACCATAGAATCATCATTGTTTCGAATTCCGAATGTTTTTAATTTAAACTCGTAACATCGACGTCTTTTTGAACAAGATGATCCTTGATTTTTATATTTCAATGATTAATACTGTCTTTCAGCCTCCTTTGACTCCGTTTTAACACGAGTATATATTTCCATTGTCAAATCGTTGTTTTGTTACTTTTCTCGCTATTGTTATGATATACAGTATTTTTACTCACGTTGTGTTATAAGATAAGTGTTTACAACAATGAGATTTGTAATTTTTATGCTAAATAAAGGTAGCTTCAAACTGAAATAAATACGTTTGTTATATATTTACAATCGTTTAATAGTGTATTAGTGGACACAAGCATTGCTGTCTCTAAATCTACATCAATATAATTTGAAATACAATGTGGTAAACATAAAATAAGCCAATGTGTATACGCTGCTTTGTCTTACTTCAACTCAAGATCTTTCCAGAATTAATTTTTCTCAAAGTCAAATACGTTACGAGATAAAATAACATCTCGTGGGAAACTATTCCAGATATCAATTATTCTTTGAGTAAAGTAATGTTTTTTGATATTTAAATGACAATGTTGTTGAAGCATGTTTTACTGTGTCCACGAGGTTTTCCTTGAGCGGCGAGATCGAACAATCCCTCCATTAAATTCAGTTCATAAAGCCAATTCATAAACTTGAACACGTTGATAATATCTCCGCTCAAGCGCCTGTATGTTAGAGCTGGAAGCTTCAATCGGCGTAGTCTCTCTCTGTAGCTAATAGTCGTAAATCCGGGGAGTCATTTTGTAGTTCTTCTTTGAGCGTTCTCTATCTTCTCGATGTCCTTAATTTTGTATAGACTCCGAATACTTGCAGCGTACTCTAAATGAGGCCGAACTAGCGCTTTAAAAAGATTTGTGAACATTTTATTTTGTCCACATCTACAAATGATCTCCTTATGACACCTACAATGCTGTTAGCTTTATTTATTGCTTGTTGGATATGTGCTGCAAAGCTCAAGTCCTAAATCTTTCTCCGATGCAATGTTTTCCAATGCTATGATTTCTCCTTCCTTGTCCGTTAGATGATATCGTGGTTCTCCCTTTTTATGTTTTGTTGACAGGGTCACAACTTTACAGTTTTTATGATGGAAATTCAATAGCCACTTATCCGTCCATTTCACAGAATTTACATAAAAGAGATAATCTTGGATTAAGCTAATATAAGGTATCACATGTCATTATGTCTCCTAGTCGAGCGCAATCTGGCACTACAAATCTGTTTATTACTGTTCACACGATTAGTGGTTCGAGGGTATATATTTACATTTTTAAGCGCTTTAAATATTCCGATGCAAGAATAAATAAAACAAATACAGGTATTGTTAATTTATATTAGCATAACAAAACTACATCGAGGGCTGTTTCACGGCGGACGTGAACCAAGTACGTCATGTGTTACGTCATTTTACTGTATCAATACGCAGTGATAATGTCAACTGTGTTATGGAAAAATGAATGTCATTTTCGTCAATGGACCCAAGCATATAGAATGTAAATATATAACCATGGTACCGAACCATATAACCTTACACTACATACCCTTGGTAACGTACCGTATATCCATACCTTACACAAAAATAACAGAGTACCATATGTCCTCACCATAAACAACGATAGCAGAGTACCATATATCACTACCATACACAACCATAGCAGATTACCAAATACCACTACCATACAAAACCATAGCAGAGTACCATATATAACTACCATACACAACCATAACAGAGTACCATATATCACTATGATACACAACCATAGCAGAGTACCAGATATCACTACCATACAAAACCATAGCAGAGTAGCATATATCACTACCATACACAACCATAGCAGAGTACCATATATCACTACCATACACAACCATTGCAGAGTACCATATATAACTACCATACAAAACCATAGCAGAGAACCATATATCACTACCATACACAACCATAGCAGAGGACCATAAATCACTATGATACACAACCATAGCAGATTAACATATATCACTACCATACAAAACCATAGCAGAGTAGCATATATCACTACCATACACAACCAAAGCAGAGTACCATATATCACTACCATACACAGCCATTGCAGAGTACCATATATCACTATGATACACAACCATAGCAGAGTACCATATAACTACCATACACAACCATAGCAGAGTACCATATATCACTACCATACACAACCATAGCAGAGTACCATAAATCACTATGATACACAACCATAGCAGATTAACATATATCACTACTATACAAAACCATAGCAGAGTACCATATATCACTACCATAAACCACCATAGCAGAGTACCATATATCACTACCATACAAAACCATAGCAGAGAACCATATATCACTACCATACAAAACCATAGCAAAGTACCATATATCACTATTATACAAAACCATAGCAGAGTACCATATATCACTACCATAAACCACCATAGCAGAGTACCATATATCACTACCATACAAAACCATAGCAAAGTACCATATATCACTATTATACAAAACCATAGAAGAGTATCATATATCACTACCATACACAACCATAGCAGAGTACCATATATCACTACCATACAAAACCATAGCGGATTACCATATATCACTAACATATACAACCATAGCAGAGAACCATATATCACTCCTATACAAAACCATAGCAGATTACCAAATATCATTACCATACACAACCATAGCAGAGTACCATATATCACTACCATACACAACCATAGCGGAGTATCATATATCACTACCATACACAACCATTCCAGAGTACCATATATCACTACCATACACAACCATAGCAGAATACCATATATTACTACCATACACAACCAAAGCAGATTACCACATATCACTATGATACACAACCATAGCAGAGTACCATATATCACTACCATACACAGCCAAAACAGTGTACCATATATCACTACTATACAAAACCATAGTAGAGTAACATATATCACTACCATACACAACAATAGCAGAGTACCAAATATCACTACCATACACAACCATAGAAGAGTACCATATATCACTACCATACACAACCATAGCAGAGAAACATATATCACTACCATACACAACCATAGAAGAGGACCATATATCACTACCATACACAACCATAACAGATTACCATATATCACTATGATACACAACCATAGCAGAGTACCATATATCACTACCATAAACCACCATAGCAGAGTATCATATATTACTACTATACAAAACCATAGCAGAGTACCATATATCACTACCATACACAACTATAGCAGAGTACCATATATTACAACTATACACAACCATAGTAGAGTACCATATATCACTATACACAACCATAACAGAGTACCATATATCACTATGATACACAACCATAGCAGAGTACCATATATCACTACCATAAACCACCATAGCAGAGTACCATATATCACTACCATACAAAACCATAGCAGAGTACCATATATTACTACTATACACAACCATAGTAGAGTACCATATATCACTACCATACACAGCCATAGAAGAGTACCATATATCACTACCATACACAACCATAGAAGAGAACCATATATCACTAGCATACACAACCATAGCAGAATACCATATATTACTACCATGCACAACCATAGCAGAGTACAATAAAACAATACGATACACAACCATAGCAGATTCCCATATATCACTACCATCCGATATATGGTAATCTGCTATGGTTGCGTATCATAGTGATATATGGTAATCTGTTATGGTTGTGTATGGTACTGAAATGTTACTCTGTTATGGTTGTATATGGTCGTGATCTATGTTACTCTGATATAGTTGTGTATGGTAGTGATACCCCCTTCTCTGCTATGGTTGTGGTATGGTACTGATATATGTTACTCTGTTATGGTTGTATATGGTACTCTGTTATTGCTGTGTATGGTCGTGATATATGTTCCTCTGCTATGGTTGTTTATGGTAGTGATATATGGTAATATGTTATGGTTGTGTACCATACACAACCATAGCAGCGTACCATATATCACTACCATAAACCACCATAGCAGAGTATCATATATCACTACCATATACAACCATAACAGAGTCCCATATATCACTACCATACCCAACCATAGAAGAGTACCATATAACACTACCATACACAACCATTCCAGAGTACCATATATCACTCCCATACACAACCATAGTAGTGTATCATATATCACTACCATAGACAACCATAGCAGAGTACCAGATATCACTACCATACAAAACCATAGCAAAGTACTATATATCACTACCATACACCATAGCAGAGTACCATATTATCACTACCATACACAACTATAACAGAGTAGCATATATCACTACCATCCACAACCATAGCAGAGGACCATATATCACTATGATACACACCCATAGCAGAGTACCATATAATACTACGATACACAACCATAGCAGATTCCCATATATCACTACCATACCCAACCATAGAAGAGTACCATATAACACTACGATACACAACCATAGCAGATTAGCATATATCACTACCATCCACAGCCATAGAAGAGTACCATATAACACTACCATACACAACCATCGAAGAGTTCCATATATCACTATGATACGCAACCATAGCAGATTACCAAATATCATTACCATACACAACCATAGCAGATTACCAAATATCATTACCATACACAACCATAGCCGAGTACCATATAACTACCATACACAACCATACCAGAGAACCATATATCACTCCCATACACAACCATAGAAGAATACCATATATCACTACCATGCACAACCAAAACAGAGAACCATATATCACTACGATACACAACTATAACAGAGTAGCATATATCACTACCATACAAGTATCATATATCACTACCATATACAACCATAACAGAGTACCATATATCACTCCCATACACAACCATAGAAGAATACCATATATCACAACCATACACAACCATAGCAGCGTACCATATATCACTACCATTCACAACCATAGAAGAGTACCATATATACAACCATAGCAGAGAACCAGATATCACTAGCATACACAACCATAGCAGAGTAACATATATCACTATGATACACAACAGTAGCAGAGTACCATATATCACTCCCATACACAACCATAGAAGAATACCATATATCACTACATATATAACTACTATACAAAACCATAGAAGAGTATCATATATCACTACGATACACAACTATAACAGAGTAGCATATATCAGGACCATA